TAGACCATGAATGATGATGATGATGATGATGATGATGATGATGATGATGATGATGATGATGATGATGATGATGATGATGATGATGATGATGATGATGATGATGATGATGATGATGATGATGATGATGATGATGATGATGATGATGATGATGATGATGATGATGATGATGATGATGATGATGATGATGATGATGATGATGTGATGATGTGATGATGATGATGATGATGATGATGATGATGATGATGATGATGATGATGATGATGATGATGATGATGATGATGATGATGATGATGATGATGATGATGATGATGATGATGATGATGATGATGATGTGATGATGATGATGATGATGATGATGATGATGATGATGATGATGATGATGATGATGATGATGATGATGATGATGATGATGATGATGATGATGATGATGATGATGATGATGATGATGATGATGATGATGATGATGATGATGATGATGATGATGATGATGATGATGATGATGATGATGATGATGATGATGATGATGATGATGATGATGATGATGATGATGATGATGATGATGATGATGATGATGATGATGATGATGATGATGATGATGATGATGATGATGATGATGATGATGATGATGATGATGATGATGATGATGATGATGATGATGATGATGATGATGATGATGATGATGATGATGATGATGATGATGATGATGATGATGATGATGATGATGATGATGATGATGATGATGATGATGATGATGATGATGATGATGATGATGATGATGATGATGATGATGATGATGATGATGATGATGATGATGATGATGATGATGATGATGATGATGATGATGATGATGATGATGATGATGATGATGATGATGATGATGATGATGATGATGATGATGATGATGATGATGATGATGATGATGATGATGATGATGATGATGATGATGATGATGATGATGATGATGATGATGATGATGATGATGATGATGATGATGATGATGATGATGATGATGATGATGATGATGATGATGATGATGATGATGATGATGATGATGATGATGATGATGATGATGATGATGATGATGATGATGATGATGATGATGATGATGATGATGATGATGATGATGATGATGATGATGATGATGATGATGATGATGATGATGATGATGATGATGATGATGATGATGATGATGATGATGATGATGATGATGATGATGATGATGATGATGATGATGATGATGATGATGATGATGATGATGATGATGATGATGATGATGATGATGATGATGATGATGATGATGATGATGATGATGATGATGATGATGATGATGATGATGATGATGATGATGATGATGATGATGATGATGATGATGATGATGATGATGATGATGATGATGATGATGATGATGATGATGATGATGATGATGATGATGATGATGATGATGATGATGATGATGATGATGATGATGATGATGATGATGATGATGATGATGATGATGATGATGATGATGATGATGATGATGATGATGATGATGATGATGATGATGATGATGATGATGATGATGATGATGATGATGATGATGATGATGATGATGATGATGATGATGATGATGATGATGATGATGATGATGATGATGATGATGATGATGATGATGATGATGATGATGATGATGATGATGATGATGATGATGATGATGATGATGATGATGATGATGATGATGATGATGATGATGATGATGATGATGATGATGATGATGATGATGATGATGATGATGATGATGATGATGATGATGATGATGATGATGATGATGATGATGATGATGATGATGATGATGATGATGATGATGATGATGATGATGATGATGATGATGATGATGATGATGATGATGTGATGATGATGATGATGATGATGATGATGATGATGATGATGATGATGATGATGATGATGATGATGATGATGATGATGATGATGATGATGATGATGATGATGATGATGATGATGATGATGATGATGATGATGATGATGATGATGATGATGATGATGATGATGATGATGATGATGATGATGATGATGATGATGATGATGATGATGATGATGATGATGATGATGATGATGATGATGATGATGATGATGATGATGATGATGATGATGATGATGATGATGATGATGATGATGATGATGATGATGATGATGATGATGATGATGATGATGATGATGATGATGATGATGATGATGATGATGATGATGATGATGATGATGATGATGATGATGATGATGATGATGATGATGATGATGATGATGATGATGATGATGATGATGATGATGATGATGATGATGATGATGATGATGATGATGATGATGATGATGATGATGATGATGATGATGATGATGATGATGATGATGATGATGATGATGATGATGATGATGATGATGATGATGATGATGATGATGATGATGATGATGATGATGATGATGATGATGATGATGATGATGATGATGATGATGATGATGATGATGATGATGATGATGATGATGATGATGATGATGATGATGATGATGATGATGATGATGATGATGATGATGATGATGATGATGATGATGATGATGATGATGATGATGATGATGATGATGATGATGATGATGATGATGATGATGATGATGATGATGATGATGATGATGATGATGATGATGATGATGA